TGGCCGGGCGCTGCGCGTTGGGAGAATGGCCGGGCGCTGCGCTGCACGGCAGGAAAACGGCCGGGCGCCGCACCGCGCAGCGAGAAAATGGCCGCGGACCACGTGTCAGGGCGGAAAAATTGCCGTACCCCGCGGCGGAGTTCGCACATTGAGGTAAATTTTTGAGGCCGGAGCTGGTTGTAACCCGAAAAGCTCCTTACTAGAGGCGTTCGTATCCCGAGGTACCACTGTAATTTGTGCCGAATCTGCAGCATTTTGTTGTATCTGAAGCTGAATAGATTCTCAGCAAAATATAACACTACAATGTTTGCCAGTACTATAGGCAACATCGACCTCCTCTTTATGGAAGAAGAGACAAGTGACCTCACTGCAATTTGGAAGTTTATATTCAAAAGAGTGTGTTTTGTCATCTTACTTGTTAACTGAAATAGTAATCCACCATTATGTCCTTAACATGTTTGGGGATTCAGATTTTTTTTCACTTTGGCTAAAATGGCTATTATATCCAACAACTCTTATAGATTTGTTTGTTGTGCTTCATACCTTTATGACATGATGGGTAGGAATTTGTCTCAATTGTCTGTCAGTAATATCTCCTTTGCGTTCTTCCAAGCTCATGCTTAAGTCACCAGTGATCGTATCCAATCATCTTGTGTTCTATCAGCCTTTTTTGTTGCCTTAAATTTTTCAAAGCAGCAGCATTTTCCAGTGACTCTTGCCTTCTCATTTTGTGTCAAAGGAATTGAAGTTTTATCTTCATTGTCAGTGCTTCTAGTAAGCAGTTTTACTTCATCAGGTATCGAATAATCTGTTTGCAACAATTTTCTGCGGCATCAGTTTTCTTTGTTCAGCATTTTTCCTCTCCATGAGGAAATGTTACATTTGTTACAACTTGGGGAACCAAGGCCCTGACAATACATACTTTTGTTGTCAAGGTGATGTCTCTGCACTTAATATTTTGTGTATTTTAGATCTATTGTAGTTTTTGTCATAAGTGGTAGTTGTTTAAGAGGACAGTTTACAGTCTTGACACACTCTTTTTTCAGTTTTGAAACATTTAGTTGCGCTGCATTCTGTTTCAGCTGTTGCTTTTTGGTGATCAAACAAGTTTTTTGTAGGCTGATAAGATGGCCTGGTACACCCATGTTTTTAAGGGTCCCCCCCCCCTTTTTTTAGTGCCTTTGAGTCAGTGTTGACTCTCCTGGACAAGTCCCTGCAGTTTTCTTGGCATGATTTCAGAAGTGGTTTGCCCTTGCCTCCTTCCTAGGGCTGAGAGAGAGTGACTGGCCCAAATGCTTAAGGCAGGACTAGAACTCATAGTCTCCCGGTTTCTAGTCTGGTGCCTTAACCACTACACCAATGGTCTGCACAGCCAAAAGCCTTTGTATAATCAATAAAACAGGGATCAGAATATTTTTGGAACTCCTTACTTTTTTCCATTAAGCACTAGATTGTAATTGTGATCTCACAATTCTGCTTCTACCTCTTCAGATCCGGCTTGTACATTTGGCAGTGCTTGTTGCAGATATGATTGAAATCTGGATTGCCAAACCTTGAGCATTATCTTATTAGCATGTGAGATAAATGTAGTTGTTCAGTAGTTTGATCAACTTTATCACTGCCTTTTTTTCTTTTTCTTTTTGGTATTGGGATACAAATCAATCTTTCCTGGTCAGCTGGACCACTAGATCACAACGACCTCTATACCTGCTTAGAAACTGTGTGTAGCATTTTAACTGTATTATCTTGTAAGATTTTAAACAGTTGTCAAATGTCATCAGCTCCTGCAACTTTGTTGTTTGCAATATGTTATAGGGCCAGTTTAACTTCACTTTCCAAACTGTCTGGTTCTAGTTCAGTGATCAAACTTTCATACATATTAACAATAAATATTGGATTGTATTCTCTGTACTGACAGTTGCCCTGTCAAGTTCTTAAGAGCGTTTGAAAAGAAGGTTGTTTTAGTTTGGCTTTTCTAAGAATTGTATTTAAATGAACTACTGTGCTCTTAAAAAGGTAATTAACATATAGACATTATCAACATGCGCAGAAGCACTTCTTCTAGAATTGATGGTTGTCTATCATTTGACTTTCTCAAACACTAGGAAGGTGTTGTTCTGAACATTAAGCATAGCTTTTTCAAGTACTTTCCAGGTTGAGTATGTAACATTTATCACTGTTGCTTTTATTAAATAATTTTGGGGAATGAACTAAACATGTATGTTAGAAATTGCTTGTTTCAATTAACTCTTCCTTTCTAAAGCGCACAGAGATGCATCTCACTTCGCATCTCACTCATCCTGTGCTTCTTCCTGTAAACACATTTACAGAGCTCTATTGGCTGCTCGTGATTCTTTACACTTTCCCCCTATATACTACATGAATAAAAGATTATGCCTTGACAATAGATTTAAAAACTCATTGGAAATAATATGAGTCACAGATGTCAAACTACTAAGAAAAAGTGAAAGCTGTCACAGAACTAGACCACATTAAAGGAGACAGAGAAAAAAATTAACAAAGCAGTAGTTCGTAATACAGGAATGATGGGACCCAGGAGACAAATGGCTGTTTTAGGATTAGGATAATAGCCTTCTGTATTCAAAAATGACCTCTCAGAACAGAGTGTCAGTTCAGTTTCAACACTTGAATTTATTTGGTTTATTGGAAAGCCAACAACATGCAAACTGATCAATTGCTTTTCCTACTAAGTGCATATTAATAGCTATGTATTATCTGAGTTCTTTTCACTGAAAACTACTATGAACAAGAGTTCATGACTGTACCCCACCCTCCTTATGCTGCTCTTTGACCATAATAAAGATTTGATTTGATCTGATTTCAGAGTGAAGGTTAAATCACAGTCTTATCAAGAACTGGTAATCCTTTGGTGAATGTTTGTTTCGCTGTTCATTTAGATTAGTACTGGCTTTTTTAGATTGTTAGCCCAACAAGTTGTTGTACTTCTTAGTGATTGTTCTACTTAATTGCAGAGTCTGCTTGTTTTGCACTATGGTCTCCTGATTCTTAACAGCGAAGCTTACCACAGTGGCACAGTGAATAATTCCCATTACAAAGATTGTGGGAAATATTAGCTTAAGCAACTTCTGTATACTTTACATTTCTTACTATAGCACCTGCTGATATAGAGAAATAAAGTTGAAATATACAGACGTTATTACAGTTGCAATCCAAAGGAGAAAGTGTTCAGTTTTGCAACATTTCTGTGCAGATTTATTTAATAATTTCTATTTGCATAGCTGCCCCCTCGATTTATTATTAACAACTTAGCATCCAGTGGTCGTGTAAGCAATAGGCATTTACGTTCTATTATGTTCCTATCTGCCCTGTAACCTTCTGTATGTCCAAAATCTCCAGAGGACTGACATTCCTCTCAACTGTGTCATTCATAGCTATAGAATGAGAGGAAAAACCCCTAAACTAGGAAAAAAGATCTTGTACCACCACACTGCTCAGGAAGGTCTACTTCTTGGGGTTTTTATTTTATCCCTGGATAGGTTTTGAGAGAGGAGATACAGGAAGTCTGCAGTTCTGTCTTTCTATTTGATAGCATCCATTCTTCTCTTTATGATTTAACACCATTTTATGGACATTGTCATACCATTATGACATATCAGAGTTTTACAGTTCAGACTACTGCCTGATTTGTAAAATCAATTAAGTGTTGAACTCATTATTTCTGTACTTTGAGATATACCCGAAAAAGTACTCTAGCATTCAATCAGAATAATTCTATTATAATGGCATAGCCACCAATTAATTGCAAATTATTACTTACATTTTAAATCATCAGTTATTAACATTTGGAATAATATTAAATATACTATTAATTGCTTAATATTAAACTTACTGTTTTTCAGACTGGGAAAAAGAAAGAAAACTATGTAGGCAGTTTGACATGTCAGATTACTGTTTCGTTAAAATATATTTTCATGATTTCATAATGTTTTAAGAACATTAGGATAAAAAAAGATGTTTACATGAAGCTGATGAAGAAATTATTTTATAAATAGTAAGAATGTAAGAAGAGGTTTCTTGGATCAGGAGTGCCTATTATAGCATATGTGTTATAAGATCCAGCTGGTGCATTCAGGAAGCTTACAAACATGTATAGGAGGGTAATCTGTTTTTAAAAACATGGATCGATATATTTTTTATACTTCTTAAAACTTCTTAAGTGGTGGTTTAGCCCCATAATAAGACTTCTGTTGAGTAAAAAATGAGAAAAAGGACTATGGACCACAAATAAAAATTCAAGTGCCATCGAAAGGATATTTCATTGGTTATGTTAAACAGCATGGATGCTGCTAAGTGGATTTACAGTGAATAGTACACAAATAGTGAATAATACAATAGTGTATAACAAATATACATAAGAATTATTATCCTAGATTTATGAATTTAATTTTTAATGTTTAGATGTTTTAAATGAAATGATGAATTGCAAAGGTACTGTAAGTTTCTGCAGTCTCTCTCAAACATTTCTGTAATACCATTCATTTAGATTTATTGAAAATTAGTGTGGTTTTCCTAGGGAACTTGATTGATGATTCAGGAATGAGTTGGCATATTTTTCAGAATGTCAAGAAGTGAATGTGAAAAAATATCTGAACTAAATTGTCAGTTATGATCAAATAAAAATTAATATTCATGCCAGTTTTATTTTTAAAAAGTATGTGGTAAAGAGCATTTGTTAAAAACAACTAGCTGTGGTGATAAGAGCAAATATACTCACTTAGCAAATAATCCATGATCTTTTAAAATGTAATAAATTCTGTATAGTTACAGAAAGTGAGGTAATGAAATATTTCTATAAACATTGAGAGATTCCATTATTGAAAATCTGATTTCTGAAGCTTTATTCCAAGTAATAGTTATAACTGTTGCATTAAATATCATTTCAGTGCATGCTGTGAATCCTAAGTTTCATTGAAACATTGTAGCCTCAGTGAATTGTTTCTTTGGCAAATTGCTCTTATTTGTATCTACTTCTATTTAGACAAGTACAAGCAAATAAAAATGACTCTTAGGAATCTAAATGTTGTCTGTGATAGGAGACAAGGAGAAAGGTTGAGACAGTTTGGGTACTACAATGGAAGAATTTTAATATAAACAAAGAGATTACCATTCAAAGAAAGGCTCATGTATTGAAAGGAAATTCGGAAATGGTTGAAGAGAGGAAAAGACTAGTGTTAGAAAGAGGCTGCAAGAATAGTATAATACACACAGCTAGGAGAATAGAGAACCATTCATTGAGTTGAAGCCTCAACTTGTCAGGTTGTGGTCCAACAATATATCTCTTCTCTGTTGTCACTTGGAGTGATTACTGAGGACCAGGGTTTTCTGTGGATAAGTCCCACAGCTAACAAGGTGCTTCAGGGTAGAATCTTCCTGTGGGACCTGATGGGCTTTGGTATCTCCTTGCTTCAGTGTATGGGATAATTAGTGCCCATCCATGCAGAGAAAAAGTCATGAGACAGAGTTCAGAAAGAAGGGTACTATTTTTTATTTTATTTTATTTTATTTTATTTTATTGGTTAGAACTGTAACTCTTAAGAATTGGAAAAATTAAAAAGTACTTATGCAGGAGGAAGTTATTGAAAATTATGGAATGTGC